AGTGTGTGTGTGTGTGTGTGTGTGTGTGTGTGCGTGAGTGTGTGAGAGAGTGTGTGTGTGTGTGTGTATGTGTGTGTGTCATATTATCCTGTTTAAATATTTTTAGTTCAGCTTTTCTCTGAACTAATTTAACTTCTGTTTTTGCAAGAATTTTCAAATGTTTTAAATGTCTTTTCTTAAAGTCTGTTTGCATCGTCTGTTAAAAAAAAAAAGAATGCATATATAGACTTTTAAATTGCATTATTTTTCCAAATTTTATGTTTTTGCAATACAGTAATGAGAACTTGGGGAGTAAAGTACTTAATTATGATGAAATTAATGTCACAATGCTAACAATCTTCAATATTCTAAACGTAATTTACAAAATTGCTCATTTCATTCTGATTTTAGAATGAAATTCGCCGTGTTCTAGGTTTTTCACACTCACCGTTTCTACAGAACTGAGTAATTGGATTTTAAAAAGGCGTTAACTGTTATCTTCCTCTTTCTAAAAGATGCAGCACATTTAATTTAAGCACTTTTCCTGTGGTTTCACAACTCTGCTATAACTATATCACCATCATCACACTTACATCTCATTCTCTGCAGCCACATCAGGTCCTTTTAGAGGAAACGCAGCTATAATTAGACGAATCTCACAGCATAAACTCACAGCTTCCTCTTTCTGATTTTAAACAACACACCTGGCATTCTGATTGGCTCAGGGCTCCAATAAGCTCCGCCTCGCTTCTGATGAAACTCCTCCTCCAGCTCGACATCACTCTGCACCGATCCGTTCTTGTCCTTCGTCCGTGTCTTCTCTCCTGTCATCACAACAGGGTTAGGTTTTATTTCCACATTCTGTCGTTGTAGTTCCTGAAGGTTTTTGTAGAGATTACTTTGCCGGATTTCTATTTGTGTGTCAGATTCCAATCACTGCAATTACTGTATTTAAGCCAAGACTCCTGGGGTCAACAGGGTCAAATAAACATTTTTTTGTATCAAGTTTTATTTTTAATGTTATGTTTGCATGTGCAAATGATGCATTATCAAAATAAACATGCACTAATTTGCATTTATTTCCAGAAGAGAAACTGATAAGGCCAGGTTCAAAATTCTTGTTTGATTTTGTTGACATATTAATGTTTCTCCATATGGGATTTTGGATTTCTCTTTTTATCACTCCATAAATCAGAAAATACTATCAACAGCTGGATTTGAACAATGCATTCTTTTTATAAGATAAAATGAAATCTCCTTCTAAAATGAGCATTTTTCCTCGGACTCTCATGTATAGTTTCAGTAATTCCACTTTAACGGCAATAAATAAGTTATTTTCATTGCCATTAAAGTGAAATTACTGAACATAAATATTGGGATTTTGGATTTCTCTTTTTATCACTCCATAAATCAGAAAATATTATCAACAGCTGGATTTGAACAATGCATTCTTTTTATAAGATAAAATGAAATCTCCTTCTAAAATGAGCATTTTTCCTCGGACTCTCATGTATAGTTTCAGTAATTCCACTTTAACGGCAATAAATAAGTTCTTTTCATTGCCATTAAAGTGAAATTACTGAACATAAATACTGGAGCCTGAGAAAGATGCTCATTTTAGAAGAAAACTTCAGATGGCACTTAAAGGCTTTTGCATCTGAACTCTTCAAATGTTCTGTAAATCAGTGTGAATGATATATGCACCCTCAGGTAACCCTCAGCTGTATTGTAGCTGAAGTCTACAGACGCAAATAGAAATAAATGCAATAATAAAATGAAGTGAATGATGTATTATTTGTGTACAAATATCTCCAGTAAGACAAAACAGCCTTTTTACAGTACACAGAGCCATGTTTAACTGTTAGATAGTGAATCTATCTCTGCGGAGCAGACGGGGAAGTTGGTTGTAAGTAAGTGTTTTACCTCATTTAAAATATGTATTTC